CTGCCACCTCAGAGCCTGGAGCCTGTTTCAGTCTGTGACTCCCTCTCTCTCTGACCCTCCCCTGCTCATGCTGTCTCTCTCTCTCCTAGAAATAAATTAAAAAAAAAAAAAACATTAAAAAAAATTATGTTGAATTTAACAAAAATGAAAGCACAACCTACCAAAGTTTGTAGGACCATAGTAAAAGCAGTGCTTACAGAAAATTTATAGCATTGAATGCATTAGAAAGAAGAGATATCCAAAATTAGTCATCTAACCTTCTATCTTAGGAGACTAGAAGAAGAAGAGCACCTTAAATACAAATCAAGTAGAGAAAAGAAAGAATAACAATTAGTCTAGAAATAAGTGAAATTGAAAACAAGAAGTCAGTGGAGAAAATCAGTGATATCAAAAGTTCGTTTTTAAAAGAAGATCAATGAAATGACAAATCTTTGGCTAGAGTAAGAGAAAAGGAGGGTAGACATAAGACAAATATGAAAAATGAAAGAAGGTTCATCACTACAGATATTATGGACATTAAAAAATACTAAAGAAATGCTATGAACAACTCTTTGCCCACAAATTTGATATCCTACATTAAATGGACCAATTCCTTGATAGATACAGTCTGCCAGAACTCATGTAAAATTAAACAGAAAATCTGTGGAAGATGGTGGCATAGGAGTATCTGAGCTCATCCCATTTCATGTTTATGACTAGATATCATCCCCATCCAAGTAAATAAACCAGAGAGCAATTTGAAGCCTAGCAGAACAACTCTACAATGATAGAAACTAAGAAAAAAATAGAACAGATCAATGAAATCAGATGCTGTTTCTTTGAAAAAAAAAAAAAAAGAATAAAATTGATAAACCTCTAGCTAGACTTACAAGAAAAATTACAAAGAACTTAACTAAAATCACAAGTGAGAGAGGATAAATAACAATCAACGTCTCAGAAAAATAGAATATTAACTGAAATTTATATGCCAAGAAATTGGACAACCTAGAAGGAAAGGATAAATGCTTAGAAACATATATATTGCCAAAACTGAAACAGGAAGAAATAGAAAATTTGACCAGACCAATAACCAGCAAAAAAATTTAATCAGTAATCATAAAAATCCTGACAAACAAAATTCCAGGACCAGATGACTTCACAGATGAATTCTGCCAAACATTTAAGGAAGAGTTAATACATATTGTTCTCAAAACATAGAAATGGAATGAAACTTCCAAATTCATTCCATGAGGCCAATATTACCATGGTATCAAAACCAGATAAAGACTCCACTAAAAAAGAGAACAACAAGCCAATATCTCTGATGAACATAGATGCAAAAATTCTCAACAAAATACTAGCAAATGAAATTCAACAGTACATTTAAAAAAACATGAATCATGATCAAGTGGGATTTATTCATTGGTTGCAAGGGTGGTTCAATCTTCACAAAAGAATCAACATGATACATCACATAAGAGAAAGGATAAAAACGATCTGATATTTCAATAGATGCAGAGAAAGCATCTAACAAAGCGCACCATCCATTCATGAAAAAAATCCTCAACAAAGTAGGGTTAGAGGGAATATACCTCTCTCTAACCAAACTGTGAGCTTACAAAACTCAACATCCAAGAGACAAACAATCCAGTGAAGAAATGGGCAGAAGACATGAATAGACACTTTTTCCAAAGAAGACATCCAGATGGCTAACAGATACATGAAAAGATGCTCAACATCACTCATCATCAGGGAAATACAAATCCAAACCATGATGAGATACCAGCTCACACCTGTCAGAATGGCTAAAATTAACAACTCCGGAAACAACAAGATGTTGGTGAGGATGTGGAGAAAGGGGAACCCTCTTGCACTGTTGGTGGGAATGCAAACTGGTGCAGCCACTCTGGAAAACACTATGGAGGTTCCTCAAAAAATTAAAAATATAACTATCCTATAATCCAGCAGTTGCACTACTAGGAATTTATCCAAAGGATACAAAAATGCTGATTTGAAGGGGCACATGCACCCCAATGTTTATAGCAGTGCTATAAACAATAGCCAGATTATAGAGAGAGCCCAAATGTCAATTAACTGATGGATTAAGAAAATATAGTGTACATATATATATATATATATACACACGCACACATGTACTATATATTTACATACATGTATATGTATACATACACACACATACTAGAATACTACTTGGTGATGAAAAAGAATGAAATCTTTTTCTATGCTGAATGAAATAAGTCAGAGAAAGACAGATATGATTTCACTCATAAATGGAATTTGAGAAACTCAACAGATGAACATAGGGGAAGAGAAGGAAAAATAAGATAAAAGAAAGAGGGAGGCAAACCATAAGAGACTCTTAAATACAGAGAAGAAACTGAGGGTTGCTGGAGATGGGGTTGGGTTATATGGGTGACAAACACTAAAGAGGACACTTTTTGGGATGAGCATTGGTGTCATATATAAGATTTGAATCACTGGGTTCTACTCCTGAAGCCAAGACTACACTGTATGTTAACTAAGTTGAATTTAAAAAAAGAAAAGAAACTGGAAAAACTAGATAAATAATTCCAATTAATTTAAAAATACAAATATATGTTTTCAGTCAAAACAAAAGAAACAAGGATACTCTTTTAAAGAGAAAAAATATAAGTGCCTATGCATATAGCTGGTAAGTGCTAGAACTGCGATTCCAATTCATATCTACTGGATTCCGAAGGTTTCTTTCTTTTTTCCATGATATCCCTTGAGATCCAAGTCCAGTTGGAGTTAATAGTGAAGGGTAATAAAGATTAATGTCTTTTAAATAGTCTTTGTAGCTGTAAGAGCAGCAAGACTGATTACCTCAGTCTTCTTCTAGACCCTTGTCCCTTGCCTACCTCAACTTTCTAGGCTTTAAGTGAATCTAGAAATGATTTCTCAAGTCTCTTGCAGGTGATAGGCTTCATATGACACAGTTCTGGTCAGTACAATATAGTCACACCTGTGGAAGTTTCTGGCAAAGCCTTTGCTTTTCTGATCCAGACACTAAGCCTTTATCTGTTCCTTTCTTTTCCTGCCTAAAGTGGACACTGAGATCCAGAGGTGCATCAGCTGTCTTGGGACCATGAGGTGAGCAGTATAAGGAGGAAGACCTGTATACTAAGCATTAGCTGACTGGAAATGTGTAAAGAGACTTCTGGCATTGTTCAGATGCTAAACAGGTTAGATTATTTACTCTGTAGGCTTCTTTGAAGCCTCTGCTATAGGTTTTTTTGTTTGTTTTTTGTTTTTACTGAGTACACATATACAAAGAGTAAAATTTTTATGTGAGAAGTAAATTAGTCATACAACCATTAGTTTCTCATGAGAATTTTAGGAGGACTTTGGTAACAGGAGAATTAGTTATCTTAAAGATCTTAACTGATTATTTGTGTATAGTAGATGGTTAACCATAGATTGTACTACTTTAAGTGTGGTCATATCATCAGAGGTAGTGAATGCAGATTCTGGGATCAGGAACCCTGTCTCCAGGGCTTATTTGGAGCTACACATCAGGGATGTGGGCCAGGACAGGATCTGGGGAGATACCTTCTGTGTCTAAGAATGCCTCTTCATCTGTTGGGGCTGGAAATTTCCTGGGTACTGCCCTTCTCTCCTTTGTAGGACTTCCTATTTCAGATAGCATTCTTCCCTGGCTTTGTCAAAGGTGGCTTATAGCCTCTGAGGTTCTGCAGCTGTTTATGAAGTTTTACAAGGTAGCCTTGGTTAGGACTTAATAATCTCATTATGATTAACCATTGTGGAGATTTAAAATTTGGGAGAAATTTTTAAATTCTGTTTACGGATATTTGATAGAGAGTAACTCGCTATTTAAGTGCACTTTTCTATAAATGCTGCCTGAAGTGTATGCATATGTAAGTCAGAGAAACTGGCTAAATACTAAGATGTTTGTTAACTTACTATTCTAACAAATTTTCATATCATTTCACAGTTATTTTGTTATAGAAATGGTTTGTAAATTCTCAAAGAGTGAACATAAAGCTTGTTCCCTTGCTAAATAAGTTCTTCTGTAATATATGACACTCAGTTTTTCCTTCTCTTGTGTATATCGGTTCAGTTTTCTCCTTAAAAATAATTTACTTTTAATGTCTTAGATGGTAGAATTAGAAGAACCCTAGTTTGAAAAATACTTGAGTTTATATGGCTCCAACTAAATTAAATGGATTTAGTATCCAATCTGATTGTTTGCAATGAATAGTTCAAGAAGACACAAACATCTTTTAAAATCTATTAGAAAAGTCCAAGTTTTGTGACTCTATATATCTGATCTGAGTTTAATTATCAGTAAAAACGTTTTGGTCCATTTTGTGTACCTACTGTTAGGCACTGTATAAATTGAGTTATTTCTTATTTTTATCTCTTTTGCTATTAAAATAATTTGTTTAATATTAGGTAGTGAAATAACATTTGGGCATTAGGTCTAGAGGAAAAAGAGTGGGTGATAGATTATCAAGTACAAATTTATCAAGTGCACATTTTAAAAATAGGCTTATCCTTATTCACTAATGCAAAGCATAATGTTTTACTAAGCTATGTATTAACATTTTTTTGAGTCATTGTATATGGTTAAAATGATAAAGATTGTGGGGCGCCTGGGTGGCTCTGTCGGTTGAGTGGCCGACTTAGGCTCAGGTCATGATCTCACAGCCCATGGGTTTGAGCCTCACGTCAGGCTCTGTGCTGCCAGCTCAGAGCCTGGATCCTGCTTCGGAGCCTGTCTCCCTCTCTCTCTGTCTGCCCCTCCCCTGCTCATGCTGTGTGTCTTTCTCAAGAATAAATAAACATTTTTAAAAATGATAATGTTATTTTAAGTTAATAGCATTAAAAAAGCAATAACCCAGTTAATTACCATTAACTTAAAAGGCAAAAATATTTTTGGAATAAAAAGTTATTAGCACAGACTCTAATAATGCAAGGAATATTTTGTTATACACCAAATGAAAAACCCAAACACGAAATAATGATTTCTCATGTTTTAATAATCAGTGGGGTGACAGAATCATTAGTGGGTGTCATTAGGAACACAAGTGAATGGGAGATGAAATACACAACACTTTTCATCTCAGCATAAATCCAAAAGCTCTTCCCTGGTACAACCTTGGTGACAACACTTGTCACTATAACTTATATAGTCCCTTCTCTTTTTGCGGTAACGTGACTCTAAGCTTAAGCTACCTAATTCTGAAAGATTTTGGTCTTCAACGCGGTTTTGTCCGTCAAGAACTCTATTCCCCAATACTGCCAAGTTAAGATTAGAACTTTCCAATGCAGGTTGTAGCTCTCTGAATGACAGCTCCTTCTCAGACAGTGTTGCCCTCAGCTCTTGTGGCAAATTAGGAATGGATTCCAACATCCTTTTCGAGGTTTCTGCATCATTGATGGAGGAGGAGGAGGAGGACGCGATTTCTAAATTAAAAAAAAAAAAGTCGACGGAGTGAAAAATAGTCAAGGAACATCAGGAAAACAACAAAATTTTGCTTAGGCATAAAGGAAAGCATTGTCTTAATAGAATTAAACATCAAAACAGAGTCAGCAAGTATCATGATGAAGCAATTTAGCGTATTATAGTTGGGCAGCTTAAATTACGACAGCATTACTAAGATTCTGCTTTACTCCACAGACCTTGTGTCTGTCTTTCTTCATGCCCCCTTAATGCTTTTATCATAGTTTTTTTACTCCCCCTGACATTTCTGAAGTCATCTTGGTCATTGAAAACACTCAGTTTGACTCCAGATGAATTTTTCTTACCTGAGTAATTTTCTTCTGTTACTAACTTCTGAGTTATTATAGTAATCCTATCAAACATTCCATAGTGGCAGATTACTGCTTCAGGATAAAGTTAAAAAGGCAGAATTTTCACTGCTCTGATGTAAGAATCAGGAGATATTGGTCTCTGACATCCCTCATACATCTATTTAACAATTTCTTTTCTCCAGAGTATTTACTACAAATCAGTAGTATTTCACATTTAATAGAGAAATGAGTTAAAAGAACACTAACCAGAATATCAGTGACCTTAAGAAGCAATTGGTGTCTGTTGTGCTGTGTGTACTAATGTACTTGTATGACTTTTTGTTACATGTTATGGGTCATGCAAGTTCTGCATAACAGGGAGCCTGTTCGTAAACACATTCCAGGATGGGCGAGTATGAAGGTTGGAACTTGGACTGGGAACCTGCAGGAACTAGCTGATGTCTTCCTTTTTAAAAATTTTTATTTTGTTAATGCTTATTATTATTTTTTAAATGTTTTTTTATTTATTTCTAGGAGAGAGAGAGAGACAGCATGAGCAGGGGAGGGTCAGAGAGAGAGAGTCACAGACTCTGAAACAGGCTCCAGGCTCTGAGCTGGCAGTCAGCACAGAGCCCGACGCGGGGCTCGAACCCCCGAACCGCGAGATCATGACCCAAGCGAAAGTCGGACGCCTAACCGACGAAGCCACCCAGGCGCCCCAAATGCTTATTATTTTTGAAAGAGAGAGCGAGCGAGAAAGAGAGAGAGAGCAGGGGAGGGGCAGAGACGGAGACACAGAACCTGAAGCAGACTCTAGGCTCTGAGCTGTCAGCAGAGAGCCCGACACAGGGCTTCAACTCATGAACTCTGAGATCATGACCTGAGCCGAGGTCAGACACATAACCCAACAGCCACCCAGGCGCCCTTGGTGTTTTCCTTCTTGATGCCCATTTAGATCAGTTGAACATGCATTGACTGTTTCCATGTCTCTTGGACTGCCAGGTAAGAGATAGCAATAAAAAGAAAACATATTTCCTGCTCTCAAAAAACTCTCAGTCATGTAGACTCTCTCCTAACCTTACCTATTCCATTTACACAACTTTGAGAGTTTTTAACATGTGACGTAGAAACACAGATGAAGTTTATTGTGTAAACCTGTAGCGCTTCTTGCTGTCCTTCTGTACTTTTCAGCTTATTAATAAAGCGTTACTGTTGAAACTGTGGAAACAGTGAAGCCAAGATATATAAATCTAAGCATGGACTGTTGATTTCTGGGTAACCACTCTCTCACCCAGGCATGAATGCTTCTGGGGCTGGCCCCTTTCCTGTGAGTTCTCTAGCAAGGGTCTCCATACTCTCCTTTCAGCCAATACAAACTTAAACAGTTGGGAGTTTTCAAGGGAAAGAAAACAAACTCTAGTATTTTATCTTTCCCCCTAATGCTTGTTCTAATTTATATCAAACCTGACAGATGAGAATTTGTACCATTTTGTTTGGTAGTCAGAAGCTTTTTCATTTTCCTTCAGTAAGATACCCTAAGTTAAATTCACTCTTGCTCTCCTTGCTCAGACTTAAACCCTCTCTAGTTGGGGCCTTATTGAATACAGAGAAAAGCTAATAGTAACTTTAGTTAACTTTCCATATACTTAATGCCAGTTAATGAATTAGGCAAAACAATTGTAGTTTATATTGTGTTTATTCATAGGCTGTATTTTTTGGCGTTCTTTTTCACGTCTTGACTGTTGTGAGTAATGCTGCAATGAATGTGGGAGTGGTATCTCTTCAAAATTCTGATTTCATTTGTTTTAGATGAATATGTAGATGTGGAGTTGCCGCCGCATCTTATGGGAATTCTTTTTTTTTTTTTTTTTTGAGGCATCTCCACAGTGTTTCCCATAGTGTGCAGCATTTTGCTTTGCCTTCCCACGAACAGTATACAAGGGTATTAGTATTTCCACATCCTCAATAATTCTTGTCCTTTTTTTTTGATAACAGCTATCCTGACAGCTGTGAAGTGATATTGTCATTTTAATTTCCAGCTCCCTGATGATTAGTGGTATAAAGCTTCTTTTCTTATATGTTGGCCCTTGTATGTCTTCTGTGCAAAAATGTCTATTCAAGTCTTCAGCCCATTTTTTAATTGGATTATTACCTTTTTTGCTATTGAATTGTAGAAGTTCCTTATATATGTTGGAAATTAAACCCTTACCAGATATATGATTTGCAAATATTTTCTCCTAATCCTTAAGCTGCCTTTTCACTCTGATTATTTCCTTTGCTGTGCAGCTTTTTAGTTTGATGTAGTTCCACTTGTCTATTTTTGCCTCTTTTATTAAAATTATTTTTTAACTTATTTTGAAACATTTTGCAATCAACAGCTTTACCTTCTCAAGCTAAGTAAAAGATAATATTCGAATTGACCTGAATTCATATAAATATCTCTTTTTAAAAAAATGTTTATTTATTTTTGAGAGAGAAAGAGAGACAGAACACAAGCAGGAGATGGGCAGAGAGAGAGGGAGACACAGAATCTGAAGGCTCAAACTCACAAACTTCAAGATCATGACCTGAGCTGAAGTCGGATGCCTAAGCAACTGAGCGACCAAGGCCCCCTCTTAATTACTGTATTTTGGACTAAAATTACTAACATACACCTCTTTTAGTTAAAAATATCTCTTATTTTTTGAAAGGGGTGCAATGAGTGTTATTTCTGCATATACAGTGCTAAAAAATGGCTAGTTAACAATTTAATAGTACAAAACAAAAACTAACAATAGAGGTTTTAAGCTCATGAATAACAAATTATTTTGATTGATACATACTTCCAAAATGGTTCTTAACTAGTAATTTAAGCATTTTTCTTGATCTTCACTTGCAGGCAATATTTTGTTAGGTTATTTCTGGTTAAGTTATGTATTGAGCAGCAATAAAGACAGTTCTTTGAAAATACTTTTAAATCTCAATACTCTGCTACAGAAACAGAAATTTGGCCAAATAGCTATATATAACTGTGCTCAGAAAATCATGTTTAGGTAACAATTTGGAAACAACCTAAATGTCCACTAAGAATGGTTAAATATATATAGTAGATTTGTGACATAGAATACCATAAAAAAATTTTAAATTCACCAAGGTGGTCTCAAACATACAACTCCAAGATCAAGAGTCACATGCTCTACTCTCAAATGAACTAAACGGCCCAGTGGAAACAGGGTGGGAGGCCAGACTCTCCCCTTAGGTGAAGTTAAAAGATTTTTGATGGTGTGGGCCACAGTCTAGCTTTTTTGCAAAGGAGATTGTTAAGAAGACCCTTCGTATTTAGCACTGGAGGACCCTAGCAGTGGTCTCCGAGTTAAGTCCCATGCCCTGTGACACTCAAACCAGTCCAGCGCACACTTGACTCTCTGCTATATGCCCTACGGACTTGACTGGTGTCCAACCCAGATGCGCCCCCTCCTCCAGCGAGTCTTTGGCCAACCGAACCTCCTCTGTGGCTCCCCCTTTACCCCATCCCAATCATCCTGACTGGCAGGAGGTGAAGGGCACCAAGTGCCTCTCAGGACAGGCTTCTGCTGTTCCCGCTGCTTTCACTCCCTCGGGTGAGATCCCTGGTGAGACCTTACTAGAAAAGCACATTGCAAGAGAAAACTCTGAACTTTTGGGCATCAGCAGCCTCAGAGTCAGGGCTAAGCGCGGGAAGCCACTGTGTTCCGGACAGCCAGGGCGGGTGTCCTTAGAACGGTCGATTGGCAGCCCGAACAGCCAATGGGGAGTAGGGAGCGGCGGGGGCCAAAGAACTCACCTAAGAGTGCGGAGGGTATTTGCCGAGATTCCCGAGATTCCCGGTGGTATTGTTGATTCCTTTTTCCCCAGCGGACCGAGCCGCAGATCTGGATTTGCAGGCGGACATACTCGCGGCCGCATACCCTTAACAATGCGGTCTTCTGAGCTGGGATCTCTCTGGCACATAGGATCAGTAGCAGGCAGAGCCCTAGCAGGTGGGACAAGAACAGACGCAGCATCTTGGACCAGACCGTTGCTGCGCTGGGCGTTTGTTTTCCGCTAGAGCTGCAGCCGCTGTCGCCTGCCGGTCTCTGCCTGTGTTCCAATGCTGGACTTTGAGGCTGCATCCCTGGCCAGGTTCAACTAAGCTTTTATAACCCTGGGCAACCACTTAGACCTGAGTCAGTGGTCCAAGTCCCTCCCTTTTCCCCACCCACCTCCTTGAAATTCCCCCTTTCACCCCCACCCCCATCCCACCCCACCCTCCCTCTGTTTACTCTTCTCAACTTTCCTCCATTTGTCCATCTTTCGGTTCTTGGATCTTTTGCAGCTGTATATATTTTTGTTTTTTTACCCTTAAACTATTTTGTATACTTATGTAAAGTTAGTTAAGATTTGAACTTTTCCTTTATTATAAAGTTATGCATGGCCCTTACAGTAAATTATATCAAGAAAAATAAAATTGAAATCACCTATATTCTGGCAATTCAGTTTTCCAGTATGACTATTTGTTGCATAACCTAATCTAAAGAAGTTAATTAGACTAGTGTCTGGTATATCAATCCATAAAGATATAATGAATGAAGAATACATTACTAACAAAAGAGAGATCTAATGACTTTTTTCTAAATCCTGGTTAAAAACATTAAAATTCTCAATGCATCACTTTAAGCCTGTACAATATCTTAAGTTTACAGTGCACTTTCTCTACTGACTTTTCTTGACAGTCTTATTATAACCAGTTACTTGAATATTTTCATTTTAGATCGTATTGTTTCTATATCACTAGAGACTGGTGAACACACACACACACACACACACACACGAACAAAAATAATCCCACAATTCTAGAAAGAATACTTTGATAATACAGGTTACAGCACAGAAATCATGTCTTTTTTTTTTTTTTACTGTATTTTATGTTTACTGTATATAGCGAAGTAATTTTTAACAGCTTCAAGTTTAACAGGTTGAGGTAATATGCTCATTCAATATTCTTTCAAATGGATAGTAACTTTTAAGTGTAAATAGGTTCATTTTTTCAATAATTTATTTCCTTGTGTTCACAATGTATTCAGATTACCTCAGTTCTACCAGTTAAACTAGAGACCTGGAGGAAGTTAGGATAGCTTTGAGTTAAAGTACTAACTCAACAATCAGTTACAGATACAGCTCTGGGATAGAATAATTCTGATTTCTAGATTGCTGCTAATTTCAACAGGACCCACTTGGCATTGGTCAAATGCTGAGCATTGTATAATAAAAAAAAAACAAACAAACACACACACCCCAGCCCTGATCAAAGCTATGAGATGGTCAGAGGTAGTGCTTTTACATAGGTTTCTGCTAAAACAAGCAGTTTGGGAGAGGCTTCTCAAAACTGAGGTTTGAAGGGTTTTTTTGTGGGTTCACAATCATTGCAAAAAAAAATCCATTTGTAAGGCTGCCCTCAAAAGTAATTGCTTGTGTAAATGTAAATTTCTGGGGAGGGGCAGGGTTGGTGGGGATGGAGTGCATTAAAAACGTAGTAGGTGACTGATACCAGCTTCCTGTGACCATCTCAGATGACCTCAAGGAACAATTAAATACAGGAAGAACCAGAAGACCAGTTAAGCAGAGGCATGCAAGCAAAATTTTTAAGCAATCAGATATGATAGAAACATGTATAAAGATGACCTAAGGGTCTTTCACATGTCTGTGTGGAAATCAAAAAACCTTAATTGTTACAAACATAACAGATTCTACCTTGTGACTTGTCTTTTTCCTTGTGACTTGGAGAACTGCTTGCAAGCACACACATCCTTCTTTTGCAAGCAGAGTCCCCTGTGTCTAATAAGCTTTGGGGCAGTCCCGCAAAGTGATCTGAAAACTGTATCCTTGGCTCTTGTCTTCAGTAAAACAACAGATAGAAGCATTTGCTAGCTTACTTTGAGACTGGTTTTCTTCCCGTTGGCAGGGGCATTTTTACTTTATCTATGTTGTCCTATAGAGTCCTTGCAGTTGTCCAGCGAAAGGGCCATTCTCCTGTTTCATAGGGAGAGGAAGCAAGTTGAGAGTAGACACCTAACTTGTACAACTTGGTCTAGCACACATGGCAGATGTGGGCTTACCCTACTGTTAAGAGTAACAGACAAAAGTGGGATTCACAGGCTTTTGTAGGCACAGCTAAAAGGCATTTCTTTCATGTTGTTAAAAAACAAGAAAGTCCAAAGAAACCTTTTAAAAGAGAAAAACTAAATGTATGCCATTCACACATCTGCTAAGTGCTGGAGCTGGGCTTCCTTCCTGCCGGTGTCTTCTGGACTCCAAAGCCCCCTTTCTCCGGTTCTGCTGCATCCAGCTCCAGTTGGAATTAATCTGCATGGTGAAGGTTAATAGATACACACGAATGCCTTTGATTGTAGGTACAAAGTGGTAAGCGAAACTATAGTTTGATTCTCAAGGTTGTTGAATTGTAGAAACAATTTCCAGATGTCTCTTGCAGGTAGCAGGGTCCATGTGACACAATTCTGGTCAGTACAATATAAGCAAACAGTGGAAGTTTCTGGCCAAGACTTTGCTTTTCTGATCTAGACACTAAGCCTTTTTCTGTTCCTTTCTTTTCCTGCCCAAAGTGGACACTGATCCAGAGGTGCAGCAGCCATGTTGGGACCATGAGTTTCCGCAGCAGAAGGAGGAAGGCTTGCATGCTAAGCACAGCTCCAGAAAGGAAAGAGCCTGCCGACATGGTTCAGCTCTAAACAGGGGTGATTCCCTAGGCTTGTTTAAAGTCACTGTTACAGGGTCTTCTGTTATTTACAGAGAACACAATCCTAATTGATAAATATATGTATAAGCAGAGTGCTTTTTTATATAAGAAACTAATTAAGCTTGCATTCATTAGTTTCTCATGAGGGTTTTAGGCATATATTAGCAGCACTTGAGATAGTTAAAGACTGAAGTAATTATTTGAGTGCTTACCACAGATTATTTTTGTGCCTCTTAAAAACCAGTCATCTAATAAGAAGCAGTGACTGTAGATTCTGGGACCAGGAGACCTGCTTCCAGAGACTTTGTGGAAGTGGTGGTGAGGGACTTGGACCAGGGCACTTTCTGTGGAATTGGTTTTTGTGTCTGGGGGCTGCATCCTTGTCCTGTCCAGGTTGTAAATTTCCCAGGTGCTGCCCTTGTTCTTCTGGGTTGGATCTCTATTTCACAGAACTTTGTCCCAGGTGGCAGACAGCCTCTGAGGTTCTACAGCCCCTTCTTGAGTTCCCTTGCTCATGGTCTCCTGCCTGCACTCTATCCAGTTAGGGTCAGCCTGTGGTTCTAAGAGAACTCACTTTTCTAAAGGCATGAGACTCTGCTCTTTTATATTTCACCATTAATCTTTTTCTACCAGTTTTCTATCTTGAAAATCTCATTGTATTCTCTAATGTGTCAATAGCAGACGACAGTTCCGCTCATTTCCCATGATAATCAGTGCTGCATCAGATCTGTTTGTGTATATTTGTTCCATCATTTCACTGGGATCTGTGGAAGAAGGAGAGGTAAACCCTAGTATTTTTTCAAGAGTATTGATCAGCAATCAGTGCTGACTTTATGTCTCATAAGCATCCTTGGAGCTACTCTAGATATTTGTGCTTTCACTTCAGGTTATGCTGCTTTATCAAGAAAACTAAAACAAAAAATGAAGGGAAATTAGGATCTCCAGAAAGTTCTCTTATCAACAAAACTTTGGGAAATCTCTAAAATTTTCTGAGAGATTAGAAAAGATAAATAACTTCAGTATTTTCCTGTTTCTACTCAAACAATATATGTCCTAAGGGAATGATGAGAAAGAATTATGCCACTAGATGGATACTTCATACTTCTTGTGAACAGGGATCTTAGTTTTGTTCACTGGTGATACATGCTTGTCATACAGTAGGCACTCAATAATAGGCCCCCAAACATGCTAGTTGTATTGATCACCGTAAATGTTAATATACTGGCGCAAAAAATTAAGGCCCAACATTCTGTGCTGCCTTGATACCTGGTGAAGCACGGAGGGACTTAAATGGCCTAACTACAAGTCTCCTGCCACACTCTGCTCCCGTAGTGGAGGCTGGCTCTCCTAGCCAAGCGGCTCTCTTCATGAGGACCAGACACAGTTCTCATACATCCCTCCATAGTCGGTTTCATTTTCCTGCCAACTCCTGGAATTAGAGAAGCCAGTCACATCCTCCTGTAGCAATTCCAGCTTTACCTCACTACCTCACCCTCTTGCTGCTACAGGCCTGCCTCATACAGCCCCCAGCTGTTTACTCTGTTCTGAGTGCAGCTCCTGCTTAGCCTTGCATGGCATGCAGTGTCCTCCTACCGTACGCCATGAGTATGTGCGACCAATAAACTGCCAGTCTCAGCCATCTGGTGATAGGTGTCGAATGTTGTATGTGGTCATCCCTGTAACCTTGGGGCAGAATTTCCTCCTTCACCAATGGGGTGAATAGGAGGTAATTAAAACATGTGGGTCATAAACAAAGTGGCCCATTTATGACCAAGGGTACCTAGTCAGCTTTAACTAACTCCTCTTGGCTAACTAACTGGTTCCATCATGATGTGGCAAAGGCCCCCTGAGACAGAACTGCCAGTTGCTGCATGCTTGTGTTTTGGGCATACTTTTTGCCTTTGTCGGTATTGCCATTTCTGCCCACCCTAAAATGCTCTTGTCCCCAAGACAAGAATTGTTGTTAATTTACTATATACCACAGCTTAACGTGTTTTTGGGTTTGGCCTGTGTTTGGCAGGTGGTCTCTGAGCATCTCACCTGTAAAGGCAGAGAAAACTAACTTTAACTGATTATCTCGAGTCCCACTTACCAAGGGTCCAGCTAGAACAGTGCAGTCACTGCATCTAGCCTGGTGATCATCAGCTTAGGGGCAGCCATGTGGCTATTGTTGTGATCATGCACTCCTGGGACAGGCTCAGAGTTGGCTTTCTGTGAGTTTTGTGGAAAAGAAGGAGACCACCATCCTCGGGAGAATTAAGCATGGCACCCAGTTGCAGGCCGGTGGCCAGGTGCTAATGAGAAAAGAAAAGGTGAAGGAGCATTTGGTGCGAGCTCCTGCCAAAATACCAGAGGAGTAAGTAAGTCAATGCCCTTCTAATGCAA